CCCCCCCCTCCCAGCAGACCAGGGAGATGCTGAGCAAAGCCGCGGGCCAGCTGCCCAGCGGGACAGCCCAGACGCCCCGCGGCTGTCCCGCTGCCGGCGTCCTCAGAGGCTTTTCTCCCCGTCTCCCTGGTCTGCTGGTCTCCAGCAGACCAGGAAGACGCGGAGCAAACCCCGTTCGTAACTGTGGATCCGATGTAAGTCAGATCCGCGTAACTCGGGGACTGCCTGTGTATGAAATATATATTTAGCTGTTATCCAAAATCCACGATCCTCTTCCATATGGTAAATTCGGGTTGAAGTCTATATAAATCAGTTTAGTTTGCTGTTCTATTTATATAACAGGTGAGTTTTGGATATATGCTAGGCCAGCCCAACCTTTCCACTTCATAGGAATGTCTTGTCATAGCCTGCTAGGAATAGGTATCAGTAGTTTACCTTAGTCTACTTGCATTCCAAAGCTTACAATCTTGGACTGCTCAGTTTTGAAATCAGGGATTTTCTGTCTCGTAAACCTTTGTGCCAGTTGTAGGCAAACATTTTGGCCTGTGCGCAGCATCTGGATAAGGTTATTGAGGGGGGAGCTGTAGGAGACTGGAAGGGGTGTGAGAGTGGTGCTGTGTGTGTGGGACTGGTGCACAGTAAGGATGCTAAGTATTCAATTGACTGATTGAATAGTCCATGCATTTTTGCATCGACTATTCGATTAGTAGATAGGGTATCTCTGCCTTTGAAGTGTAGCAACAGCCCTAGGGCTTTTGCTACACTTCAGAAGTGAAAGCCCTGAAGTCCAGGTTCAGCTGAGAACTCCCCAGCTGATCCTGGGCTCCATATAGCGCTGCTGCTTTGAAACGCCGCAGTGGTGTTTCAAAGTGGCAGCGCCACACGGAGTCTGAGGTCAGCTGGGGACTCAACAGCTGATTCCAGGCTCCAAGAGGCGCTGGTGAGTTGAAATGCCGGGAGGAGTCTGACGTTGGGCTCCCTGCGGCATTCAAAGCAGCAGTGCCACATGGAGCAGCTGACCCCAGGCTCCATGCGGTGCTGCCGCTTTGAAGTACTTCCCACTCCTCCCCACCCCCTACCTCTATCTGAAAGAGGCAGCAAGGGGCAGGGGGAAACAACTAGTTGACTATCCTGTCAACTAGTCCTTCACATCCCTAGTGCATGGGGATGAGGTTCTGATCCTGAGGTTCTGATCATGGGGATGAGGTTCTGATCGCAGGGAAGTTGTGCCTGTGCAGGGCTGGGGAATACCAGGCATGCGGAGCAGGGTAAGCTCCTGACTTTACTCCCCAGCAGGAGCTTTGAGCAGGCAGAGTGCGGCAAACTCCTGAGACCACTCTCCAGTAAGAGTTTGAAAGCCGGATTAAAATATGTGCTGGGCCAGACCTGTAGTTCGCCCACTCCTGCTCTATGTCACTGTATCCCAGTATAAGGATCCCAGCATTAAGAATTCTATAACTGCTTTAAATTTTAGCCTTGTATTTACTATATTATCAATTCAAATTAAATTTGGGTTAATGTATAGGTAATAGATTATCTTAATATTAACTTTTATGGAGATATTTACACATATACACAACACTTTTTTGTTGTTGTTGAAATCTTTCCTAGATCCAAAAAGGACTGGTTATCTACGTATGCTTCTTCAAAGGAGCCAGTGAGGAACTCATTCCAAAAATGGGTATGTTTTATTATTCGTATTCTTACAATAAGAGAGAAGCAAAAAACAATGGGTCTGATTATGCAGCAACTAAATCAAGAAGAAGATACCGAATTAGGCGCAGTGTGAGGTATGACTGAAAAAGGTAATAAGAACAAGATCTTTCAAAAGAAACTTTGTAAATGAGAACCTGTAACCTGCAAAACTCACTCTATACTAAAATTATTCTGAGCTAGTATCTCCCCAGTCATGAACATAAGAACAAGCTGGTTGTTCAGACCTTCATTTACGGTCTCCTTTGCTGTCCTTCTTTCAGTGACTGTTTTGGCAGAGGCTCTGCTTATAGAAGAAGTAGAAGGACATTGTGTAGCATAATAGTGAATCAAACGCTCTGCCTGTGAACCATGTTTGTCTTTCTTGGTTCTTTTGATGTATGTCTTCATCTCATCTTGTATCCATCTACTAGTGGTAGACCATGTTTGAAGAATGGGTATATTCAATGTAAACTCACTTGGTTTTTCTTAATAACTAATGGGATTCTCTCACTCTGAGGATGCCTCCTGATTACTCAGGAGATTAGCTCTGTTCAGATCTGACACACTACACTCTTCTATCATTTGTTCTCTTCACTCTCTGGGGCTTACTATGCTTCCTCTTTGTGACTTCTGGCCAGGTCATTTTATGTATTTGCTTTTCAGGGTCTCTCATGATTGGTTGTTAGGCTACTTTTCCAGTCTGTCCTCTAATTCAAGACTGCCACTTTCCTCTGTGGCAACAAAGGAAACCCTGGTCCATCCATGATTGTGTCCCAACGCATGGACCTTCTGTTCAGCAACCACAGTCTGCTTTCTCCAAGACACCCTTACTATTTCCCTGTGCTCCTTCCTATGTTATCTTCTATCTCTGGCCCATGCTAGGTTACTAGTGGAGCACCCTTTACTCCCTGTGGCTATTTCTTTTCTTTCAGGTTCTTCATAGTCTGTTCTAAGCACAAATCCCTCCTCCAAGGTAGTGACTACAGACTCTTTTTGTTCTTACTTGCTGGCTTTGGTTTAGCCCAGCATACACCTGTTCACCTGAGATTCATCTTTTGATAGGGCTTGCCTATCCATCCTAATTATTCCTCAGGTAAGATCATTAGTCCCTTTCCTGCTGCCTTAATCTTTTTCAGGTGAGGTGTGGAGTTAACATCACATCACAAAAACATTCTAGCAAACCTAATAAATTATGAGCATATGGTTCCTTGAGTGACCTATTACTCATATGGACGTTAAGAGAATGACTTGGATCCAAAATGGAACTGAACATATAGGGAAAACAGCCTTTCAGTTGGCACATAGCATGACCTTCAGTTCAGCTTGACAATATATTCAAGATATTAAAAATAATGTTGTCCCATGGAACCAGAAGGAGGTGTTGGATAAAACTATTTCCTTCTGCTCTCTTCTCTGAGATATTTGATATATAGGTGGACACAAAAATTCAGGCATAGTTTTCAAGATAAAAAGCAAGGATAGCTGTGTCTGCAGACCTTTGCTTGTTATTGACAGTGTGGCTGTATCTAGACTACATCCTTCTTTCGACAGAGGGATGTAAATTAGACACTTAGAAATTGCAAATGAAGGGGGGATTTAAATATCCCGCACTTCATTTGCATAATCGCTTCATGGCACTCTTTCGGAAAAGCACCATTTCAAAAGTAAAACCTTGGTTTAGACGTGGTTCTTTCGAAAATGGCATGCTTTTTCAAAAGAGCCTGTACTCCTCATCTTTTGAAGAGTACAGGCTCTTTCGAAAAAGCCTGCGATTTTTTTCAACGCAGTTTGGCAAATAGCAGTTTCATAAGACTGTGTGGATATTGGCATCTATGGATGTGGATATCTGTGGATCATTTTTGCAGATACTCATACCAATTTTATATCTATGCAGGGCTCTTCCCATACTGCCTACTAACAACTTGGACAATGATTTAAGAAATAGTTCATTCTCATTACCCATTAAATCCTTTCCCTTTTTTGGGACTCCAGTGATGGTACTAGTTATATTTCTCGTTGTTATGGTGGGATTGTGGCATGGCGACCTTTTCAGTGACAACTGGAAGGAGAGCACAAATTGGTTCTGATTGCTATCAGATGGCAAGAGGTTTCTGTTTGTCCTGTCTTGGCTTGAACTTGAACCAGTGACTTAGAGAGGAAGGGCTTAATTTTCATTAACCATTTAAGTCAACAGTGTTTGTTTTCATTAATTATGTAATCTTTCTAGTAGTAAATTTTGTTTGTGAATTTTAAAGTTATTTAAATCAGTATCGGGTTCATAATTCAACCTCTACCTGGTTCAAACATCTGCCCTTAGAGAAATTTATGAGAGTTTCAAGCAGGATGATACAGGTTTCCTACTCCTTGTATTTCATTGTGCAGTATGGGGGTGGAGTGGGGGGCGGGGGGCGGAGGAGAAATGAAGGGATGATATGTTTCATAATATGCTTACTAAGAAAAAAAGAGTGTAAGGTAAATGGAATTTTGATTGTTTGTTTGTGTACATTATGGTTCATGGGTGAATATTGCCCCTCAGTCTTTGTGGGCAACTGTTTCAAATACATTATGGTTCATGGGTGAAAATTGCCCCTCAGTCTTTGTGGGCAACTGTTTCAAATGACAGCCTACAACTATGCTTCTCTCAGAATGAAGTCCCAAATTTACCTCAGTTCAGACTGACCATTTTATGCTATCATCAGTTTACCAACCATATTATATCAATAGGCACAAGAAGGTTTGGCTCATACTGATGATTTATTTCTGAAAGTTTGTGACTAGTATGAAATTCAAGTATCACTACTGCTATTTCAAAGCAAGTATTATGTATTGGTCCACAGGCATATATACCAGAGAGAAAAGGGCTAAAAATACCAGAAGCCTAAATCTAGATTCTTACCTATGCTTAACTTTTTTGTGGCCATTTTAAGTATGCCCCACGCAATCTCAACTTGACCCAGGCAATCTCAACATTGACGCAGGGTGAGACAAGCTTCTGCATCTGACAGGCTGACTTCTAAGTCAGTTTCCCTCAGGCTGTCCTTTATCCATTTCAAAGTTCCTTTGTTCAAGATTTCCCACCTGAGGATCTCCTGAGGTTCCTGAACCTGGTTGAGCCTTCTTCATATGGGGTTATTGGCCTCATAATAGATTCTGTTATTGGCCTCTGAACATGGGCAAAGCCATGTTCCCGTGTCCTAGGAAAGACTGTGGCTGGAATCAATCCTTAGGGTTCCAAAGAGTTGCTCACCCCACAATAACTGGCAAGTCCACAGATGTATTAATGCATAAAGTTAATAAAGACACTCCCATGTTCTTCACAATATACCAACACTTTCCTTAGTATGGAAAGAACTAATCTGTGTTTGATATTAACTGTATTGAGCTATATTTATCTGGTATACACTGATTAATGAATAATCAGCCTTTTCCCCCTTTAGCATATACATTTCTTGTATTGTATTTGATTTTTTTTTTCTTTTGCAGTTAACACGCTGTTGAATGTTAAATTAAGTGAAGCCGAAAGTGGAAACTATGTTTCTGTTCTGGATTTACCAGGCAATTTATTAATAATACCCCAAGCTACTCTGGGTGGTAAGCTGAAGGGACGAAATATGCAGTACCATTCCAACATTGAAAAAGAAAACGGGATGGAACTTTATTCCCATTTTGTAACATTGTGTGAAAAAGAACTGGCTGCTAATACGAAATGCACTGAAGCAGGTGTTGTTGTCAAGTATGGCACATATGGAAACAGACAGGTGTTAAAACTGGATACAAATGGACCTTTCACTCATATGATTGAATTTTGAAAAAAAAACGATATTGTATACTGTATATTGTATATTGTCCAGCATCTGTAGAATTTCTTATTTAAAAGTGATAATCATTTAAATTGATCGGCATGGGAAGAAATCAAACTTTTTTTCTGAAAATTTATGCAAGTGTTGTCCATCCAGTGAAATGCATTATTATTAAAAAGAGTCTAACACTTTCTTGTGGCTATCTGTGTGTATGTGTATCTAAAATATTTTGCTAATAGTGATTATTTAAGATTTATTGTAGTGAAAATAAAGCAGAAGTTCTTTTAACATTTATTTAAGGCAAAAATAATAAGTTTTCTGTTGCTTTAAAAACATGAAGAAATGTTTAAGTTTATTAGGAAGTAGATAAAAAAACATGGGGAAATGGGGAGTCTGTACAGAAGGGATGAATTCCACAGGTTCAGGTCTCTGTTCCTGCATGGATGTAAGCAGATCACTTTAGCCTTTCTTTTCTGCAGTTCCCTATAGGTAAAATCAGACTTCCCTATCTCTCAGTGGTGGGAGTGAGTAAATATATTAAAGGTTGTCAGGCACTCAAATACTACTAATAGGACTCTCATTACGGGGCAGGCATGATGGTCAAAGGGCTAAAACAAGGGAACTTAAAGGGACACTGAACAGAGAGCCCTGGAGAGTGCCCACTGCTCTTCAAAAGCATCGAAGGAGCCAGCAGATGCCATCCAGAGGAATTCTGCCTGGATGCAGGAACAGATAAAGGAATGGAAATAGGCCTCACAGTCACAGCCCCTTCCCTCAGCTAACCCTTACTTCCCTGGTGTTATGAATGACTATCGCGGCAATAGCCAGGAGGAGATTGATGATTAGATCCCATCACTTTGTGTGGCCAAGGATGGGGTGTGTGCATAAATAAGTGAGGGGAGAAGTGCAGCCAGAATCTCAGTAACAGGTTCTGAAGGTGTCAAAAGAAGGGTTGTAACCTGGCATACTGAAAGGAGAGATGTTCCATGGTCTCCTTCCCACCCCAGAAGGGGCAAGCTTCAGGGACATGATGAACCGCAGCAAGTACACACCTATGCTCACAGCACCATGCAGAATCCAATAACTGATGTCCTCTGTGGGCTGCAGGACCAAGGTGGAATCCAGAATCATGCCAGGAAGATGTATTTTGTGGTGGCACTAGGATCAATATGACACATCCCTGCCACCAGTCATGTACCTTTTGGAAAGAAGCCACAGGGAAGAAAAGCTAAGGACAACTGCTACAGAAAGCAGTTCAAGCAGGGATGAGAGATCACTGATGATTTCTGACTGCTTATTGAAGTTTTTGCTGTGTTTTATGCCCCGCGATAATTGGCTCTTTGCTCCATCCCCTTGCTTCCTTTTTCTTTCAGTGGTGCTAATCCTCTCCTAATATAATTCAGTGAAAAGGATTTAAAATAAAAAATCTGGAAATAATCTGATATCTGCAGCCATCACATTGTTCACCTTCCCTGCATATTGCATCGATTTCCCCTGCCTTTTGTCTGTCTTGTCTGTTAAATTGTAAATGCTGCAGAACAGGGCCTGGATCTTATTTTATGTACAGTGTCTAGCACTGTCCCTGCAGCCCCCTGAGAAGGACAGAGCAGGGGTTCTCCCACATGCTGTCCTTGCCAGCAGACACCACTCCTGCAGCTCCCATTGATCAATGAGGGAGAACTGTGGCCAGAGGAGGCTGTGGGGTCAGGGCCTGTGGATGAGGGGCAGCACATGGAGCCGTTGCTGTACATGCCACCTGTTTTTGGGGGGTGGGGCGGGGCTGGGGCAGAGGTTGACCTCTCGGTACTACTATAATACAGATGATAATTAATGGCAGATAGAAGGTAGGTTGGAGGTTTTATGTTATAAGCCATGGACAACAGAGAAAAGAGACATTCAATTAAATTAGATGGCATATTCAAAATGATATTTTTCAATCTGTGAATAAAGTGTGGCTCTTATTGGCACCGGATGTGGAAGCAAACAAGTTAATGAAATCAGACAGTTCTGTGAATAACAAGACTATCCAGAATTATAATGCGTGTGAAAAAAATTCTGAAAAGAATATAAAACTTCATACTTCAGGATTTATGCCACTCTCTAACTATCAGAGGATTAGGATGACACTTTCATGGAAGGCAGTTTACTTCACTGTGGAATTTCTTGCAACTTTCTCAGAATTACCTACTTCAGTTCACTGTTGGTGACCGGATATTTGACTAGGTGAAGGGCCATGTATATCATCCAACATAGCAATTCCTATGAAACACAATGGGCAGTATTCTATTCTGATGCATACCTTTTGAAATCCTGAATCATGGCTCAATATTCGAAAATATTTGTCAGTTTAGTTTCATATAGAATATACTTCAGTGTATATTAGTAATCTACAGGATCACACTATGCTGTCACAAGAATCTAAATTTTCTGCATAGACACACACTTTACATTTTAATACAAGAGACTGATAGTTTGATGAATGTGAAATAATCCTGTATTTGCTTAGAGATGTTTATTTCCTGTAAGTTCTTTATTTTTACGATTCCTGAGGCAATTAAATTATGCACATAAATCATTTGGAAATACGTATTTATTAACTTCATCATTGATTGCATATTTACTCATTAATAATTCACTATCTGCTTATAACAGACACAACAACTCATTTAAATTCCTAGTCTAGAATGCTATATAAGAGAGATTGTTCTTTGTGAATAATTTGTGGAAATCCATCAAAATTCTATTCACTGGGAAAAACTTCATTTTTCATGCCTTCTGCTGAATTAGGCCAATTTCTGAAAAGTGCTGAGTAACTGCAATGTTTACTGACTCGAGGAATCACTGGTATCCAATACATCTCAGGGGCATCAAGGATACGGGATGGAAAGCAGGGACCCTTATACTGTATAATGACAGGGGGAGCAGCAAGGGGCCATATATGGGGACCTGGAAAATAGTTTGCTGCATTCCTCACTCTGGCTGGGGAGTGCAGGGGGAGGACAAACCTGGACCTGCCCCCGGGCCAGATTAAGGCATAGGCTAGCCAGGCAGCTGCCCAGGGCGCCAACCTATGGGGACACCTGATGGCAGCTGAAAGGGGCATGCAGTGGCCCTTATAGCTGCTATCAGGCACTGCACGCCTGGATCGTGGGCTGCAGCAGCTCCCAGCAGTGCTGTTAACCCCCGGAGCGCCGGCCAGCAGTGCCCTTCCCCCTGCGGCTGCGGGGCCCTGCATGGCCAGGCTCGGCCCGTCCCAGGCGGCCCCGGGCTGCGCACCAGCGGCAGTAGCCAGGCTGGGCTGGGCCGGGCACATGTGTCCTGCCACTGCCAGCTCCGTGCGCCCTTCTCCGCCTCGGGCTGCGCGCCAGCAGTGGTACCCGGGCCGGGCATGTGCATCCTGCCGCCGCCAGCTCCGTGCGCTCTCCTCGCACTGGGCGGGGGCGGGGCCGCACATGTGCCCTCCCCCAACCTGAGGCACAGTTAAACTGTCTGACCGGGGCTCCGGAATGGCTCAGTCCGGCCCTGCCTGCCCCAGCTGGGAGACATGCATCCCTCGCCTGGCTGTGCCCATTGGAGCTGCAGTGGCCATGGAGAAGTGCTTCTTATCTGGCCACAAGCAGCTTCTGAGAGAGAACACGGGGTAGTCCTCTCTCTAGAGCAGACTAAATACTGAACTGCTCATTTCCAGTCCCACCCCAGAGCAATGATTTAAATGAAGCATGCACATTTTCATTTTATTTTCCAAATAACGTAAATTAATAGAGTTACAAACCTGAACAATGCCAGGTAAATCTTCTAGCTGATTTATAAAAAAGAATGGCATATGCAGCATGGAACATCAAGTAAATAGCATTCCTGTCAAATAGTTTTGTACATAGAGCTATGTACATCTTGTTATACATTTTAATAAGGTTTCTTATTCACTTTAAAAGTATTTGTAGAAATGTCATAATACATAGTCTGTTTCATGAGTAAGTACTAAAAATATGAATGTAAGGGTCAGATTGTTTAGAAGTGCTGCATTTAGAAAAGAGATTGCAACTGTTGAAGGGAGACTGGTTTTGGGAGGTCTTATCAATCAGCAGTCTTTATCTGCACCACATTAACATTTAATTCTTGTGGGAATAATTTTATCCGTGCTTTTAAAAAATATCTTATTGTAAGCTGTCAGAAATAGCATATCTTATTTTTGAGTACGGAAAGTTATTAAATATATAGTTAACTTTCTTTTTTAACTAGGTCTGTTGGTTACACTTTCTTAATAGTACAATTGCTTCCTTCATTATTTCAATTAGTAAACATATTATTGTTTCTAATGCTGCAAGATCTATGTATGAAATATTTATTTCCTTCTCAGCTTAAACATTAGCCAGAATGGGCACAACTGCAGAAACAGCAGCGACTACTCAGCAGAGGGAGCTCATACATTTTATTTTGCAGCAATTGTACAAAAAATTAGTAACTGTATTTGAACAAAGGACTTTAAAAACAATAAATAAGCAAAAACAATGAAGAGTCCTGTGGCACTTTAAAGATGAAGAGATTTATTTGGATATAAGATTTCTTGGGTAAAAACCACTTCATCAGATAAATAAACAATTATATTTTGAATGGAAAAAACCAATCTCCTCAAGATATATAGTCTTTACAAAAGCCAGGAGAGTCTATATTATAAAAAATATATGTGTCTGATCCTAAAGACACTTGGACATGAGTACCTTTTTTCATCTTGAAGCCAAAAGGCTTCATTTAAGAACAAAACTTCAAAGTATAATACTTGCAGGAGTAAAGTTACTTATCTATTATAACTGTTTGCAAGCTCAGATCCTAAGCTATGACAATGTAGGAATGTTTAAGAGATAATAGTTTTGCTAATTTTTGCAATTAACATTTTAATTTCTTAATTTATCTGCTATGACTTTCATCCTTTAAGATTTTTAAAAGGCAATTGAATTTGATTTTGTTTAAACATATTACTGTTTCGTAATATTTAATCCTCTTTATTTAAAGACCCCAGCACTGTAACCCTTACTCATACATTGAAGGTAAACAGAACCAAATTTTGTTTTGTTGCCTTGGTGTAGCTGCAAAATTCAGTAGAATTATTCTGGATTTAACACTGATACAAATAAGAGAATTTATCTCAGTGAGATTGATTGTGTAAAGAATATTCATGTGATTTGTTTGCAGTATTGTAGAGTCCTGCAAATCCACAGATACCCACTTTATATCTGCAGATATCCACACTCATGGATATCTCCGAGGGTACTGAGGGAGTTGGCAAATGTCATTGTGGAGCCTTTGGCTATTATCTTTGAAAAGTTGTGGAGATCGGGAGAAATCCCGGATCACTGGAAAAAGGCAAATGTAGTGCCCATCTTCAAAAAAGGGAAGAAGGATGATCCAGGGAACTATAGGCCGGTCAGTCTTACCTCGGTTCCTGGAAAAATCATGGAAGGGATCCTTAAGGAATCCATATTGAGGCACTTGGATGAGAGGAAAGTGATTAGGAATAGTCAGCATAGGTTCACAAAGGGCAAGTCGTGCCTGACCAATCTGATTATCTTCTATGATGAGGTAACTGGCTCGGTGGACATGGGGAAGTCAGTGGATGTTATATACCTTGACTTTAGCAAGGCTTTTGATACAGTCTCCCACAATATTCTTGCCAGCAAGTTAAGGGATTGTGGATTGGATAAATGGACGGTAAGATGGATAGAAAGAAGGCTAAAAGGCCGGGCCCAGCGGGTAGTGATCAATGGCTCGATGTCAGGATGGCAGTCGGTTTCTAGCGGAGTGCCCCAAGGTTCGGTTCTAGGACCGGTTTTGTTCAATATCTTTATTAATGATCTGGAGGAGGGGATGGATTGCACCCTCAGCAAGTTTGCAGATGACACTAAGCT